CGTCCGCATGCGGACAGAAGGGGCAAAGTAATTCACAAGCTCCAGTACCACACTGGCACACTCCAAATCAGAAGGAAAAATGTTTATTAGTACTACAATCAAATGATCATATTGCAATAAAGATCACCAAATACTGTTAGGTTTGCCATCCCAGTTCACGTAACTTCACCTCCTCATCTGTAAGCTTTTTCAAAACATTTTTACTCCTTTTGCTCTCTTCTCTGTCTTGATCTTCATTTACAGTAGATATGTTGTTTTTCTTAACTACATGATGAATTTGTGACTTCAGATGTTTTTTCTTAGCATTATTTGTACTACTTGCGGCTTCAGATCGAAGGGTCCTCACCCAGTTAAATTCCTTCCCAATCTGGAATGTTTTTCCTTGCTTATATCTGGGAAAGGGTTTAGGCTGGTCTTTTTGTTTCTTCATTTCGTTGATTTCAACTTTAGACCCTCCTTCCATCCTCATTAATATGTTCATTTCTGTCAATAATACAGATTTCTTTCGGCCTGATTGAGACCCGTTTGTGGACAATTCTCTTGCAATTCTTTCTCTCTGATGTTGATAAAGTCGATGCAATTTAAGAGCAAGATGGCATATACCATCTTTAATCTCTGCCTCTAAATCGCTTTCTATGTCCATCTCTAGCTCGCTGCGAATCTTCAATTCTTCTTTGGACATGTTGATCATTCCTCGGTCACTAGACCCCAAATGGTCTTCATTAGCATTAGTCTGACACACAATATATAGCTACGTTTAATGTATCGATCATTTAGCTAGCTAGTGCGTGCAACAATTTATAGCAATCAACAAAACCAAATTATATCAATAGAACTCAACTCACCATATGATCACTCCAAGTGACATTGCTTTGGATTTGATCAGTAGACTCATTAGACCACGAACTCGATAAATCTGCAAAAAGCATAGAACAACTAACAAGAATTACTAAAGCTATTAACACGTACAAACAACTTGTAATGAATTGAAAAAAGGCACTCAGCTCTGGGAATGTAACCAGTAGTAGACCTATTAAACCCATTTTGAACCAGTTGTCTTGCTGCTCCATGTCCAAAGTCCTGCTACCTCCTTTGCACCCTTTGTGGTGTACATGTTCATACACATTTTAAATCTATTTGATGGATTAAGACATAAGACTGTTGTCCTTGGGTCTATTTTACAGCTTCATTTTGAAGGGGACATAACATAATTAAGATGATGTCTTGCGCAATATTGACAATTAAAGATGTTGATTTGGGAGGCTATTCAAATTAGGCGCCAAACCTCTCTATGTGAATACTGAAGTAAACAAAAGTCATTTGTCTCTGAACTGATCACTAATTAAGGACACATAAAACATGGTTGTGCTTTACTTGGAAGGGACATATAAGGTTTGGGTTGCCCTTAAAGCACAATCAAATCATATCTGTGCGAGTGTGACACAACTTGCTTGAAGGAGCATGTAGACCTACTACACACCCATCTGTTTAAGGTCCTAATTTTATTAACATTATCTAAATTAATTAAGAAAATGCAGAAAAAAATGTGTAAATTAAGAAATAGCTGCAAAGTTGATTATAAATTTATAATGTTCACTTCTTGCACAAAGCGCATCTGGTGTAGTGGTATCATAGTACCCTCCCACGGTACTGACCAGGGTTCGATTCCCTGGATGCGCAAATCCTATTTATTTTTGTAGTTTTGCCAAACTCTCGAAGTTTTACTTTTACTTTTACTAGATGTTTATGATAGTACTGTAGAAGATCAAGTGTACAGTGGGGATGTAGCTCAGATGGTAGAGATAGATGGTAGAGATGCGGGGGATCGATACCCCGCATCTCCATTAACATTTTTTTAAGGAGTCAACTTCATACCCATTCAGGTCGGATGATCTAGTTGCTTCACTTGCTTGTAGCCACTCAATTAAAATGATGAGTGTGATCACCATTATTAATGACTTTTTGCATGGACCAAGAGGCATGTGTTGCTCATTTTTGAGGGCATGACTAATTTCACCCAAAAAGACTAATGTGGTCAAGTGGAACAACGAACAACATAAGATGGGATGTTCATTCACAGCTAAAAGAACACGCTATAAATAAACAAATTAAAGTAAACAACCCTATTTGACCGGCAACAACATGTATAGCAGACTTCAATTCTAAGTCAACTTCAAAGAATTTTTTTCAATACATCACACATGTTATAATACATCTTTGATTTCTCATAAACACAAGCAAAATAACTACAGTATATATGAAGGATTGAAGGGTGAGAGTACTCTGATCGATCTATGTTGAAGAAACAACTACTTGAACTGCTGCTGTTCTTGGATATCAAAATATATATATATAGATCGAACACGTTTAAAGACATGGATAAGATTGGAAGGTTAATAAACAATTGTACAACATTAGCCGACTTGACTTAATTTGCCAATCTAGATGACCAAATCAAGTGACAACAAACTCCAATCAAGGACTAATTCTAAAAGATGAAATTATAGTAATAAACAACTTCTTCATATCATATAGAATATAGATTACTTCTCTCTTTTGTCAAGTTATGGAGACAAGTTATATATAAAACTAATAACAACCATGTTTAGAATTTAGATAGGGTGGCAATCATCATCACAAATCACCTACAAACATCTTCTAAGAGCTTATACTTTCTAACCTTACCTTTAAACATTTGTTTCTTCATTTCTTTATTATTGTTTCCTATCTCAACAGATTGAATCTGCAATCTTCCCATTGATTTATCTGCTGTTGAAGATCTTGATTTCTTCATTGAGTTGTTCATGTGCTGGAACTCATCACGACTATTGTTACATGAAGACGATGAAGAAGAAACAGTGGAACTAGTAGTGGTGGTACCTTCTGTATTCTCTTTTTCTTTCTTCAAACACCAATTGCAGACTCGAAATGACTCATTATTTTTTGGATAAAGATTGCTACAATATCTGCAAACACAATAACAAATGTTGTAATCCATTATCCATTAATGTAATTAATTAAGGAATATGTTTTAATTATGTTTGCTGTAGTTAATTACCTGTGTTGGGATCTGAAGAGACAAACTTTGCATTGAAAGAGTTGGTTTAGTAAACCATAGTCACCACACATGCAACACTCAACTTGACCAGATGCTAATACCTCCATTACAGCTTCAATACTTGCCATCTTCTTACATGAAAGAGCTAGAGAGGGAAGTCAGGGGGCAATTGAGCTTAAAAGGATACAACAGAATCTTTTATATATCTTTGCAATTAAATATAATTAATGAGTTTAATAATTGAAATTAAATACCAGGGAAAAACAAAACAAACTTTTTATGGTGTTCCTGTTTAGAGTTTAGATGGTCTACACCTCATGGTATGAAGATCTTACACATTACACCTCGTTTGTTGACATGTGTCATACCTTTCCACTCTATTGCTATTGCTAACCTACCCTGGAATATACAGGCAATTGAATGGGCTCCTACCCAAGACCCAAGTAGAATTCTGTATTGGTAAAGCCCAAAATTGCTTCCAGAATCAAAAAATTTAATCTGTGTTTCTTTTAGTATGTGGTGCGTGTGGGACTAATTAACAGTTGACACGTGTTATAAATTAGGTGAGAAATGACCATTTACCCAGTAGGGTTCACCACACCCATACATAGGTTTTAGTTTTTTTGGATACATGGCATCTTTTGATTCGGCCCACATGCTCACATACAATTACGACACAGATAAAATTCTTATCTTCAAGAATGGCACTACGGCAGAATGTTTGCTCGTTGGACTTTTTTT